GGGACTTTGTTAGAGATCTCCAAGGTTTTGCTAAGTCTTATTTGCTTAGAACCTGATAAAAACCACAAATCTCAGAACTTGATAACAACCCATAAATGTCCAAAAAAAGGCATCATTTCAAGACAACGTTTCTTCGAGTTATTACGCGTTATTAACTGCTCTAATTTTATGTAACTTTTCCGTGACGATTAAGATGCAAAGGTTAAAGATGATGAAAGTGAACGCGAAGCCTTCAATTTATCGGTTGAAAGTGATCAAAAACTGGTGGAGGGGGGGGGAGTATTTCTCTAAAGAGCATCGTACAGTAGTCACGAATTTACGTTTAGAAAGTTGGATACCATGTGTGGTAAGCCGAACTGAAGAGCTTCTGCTATTCAATTTGAAGCCTTGAGCCTAGGCCAGAATAAATTCCGAATTGGATAAGAAAATATCAACAGATACGCCTTCATTTATCCAAATAGTCAGCAGAACACCCCCCCCCCCGGCTGAATGAATTCGGTCCGAGTATTTCAGGCAATCTCGTAAAATTGTTAAAGATAAATGGGCTAACTACTCGTGATGTGTGTGCTAGTGGTGAAGTGATTAATTTGATCAAATATGAAGTCAGAGATCACGGGTTCCATGCCAATTAACGATCACCCAGTGATCCAAGTGGCAAGCTGCCCTCATTGACTTCGACTGGAAAAGAAAATACCCTAATCCGTGTTCCACTCTAACCCAAGATGACTGGCCGGCACTATTCCTCTCACTCATGTTCCTCCCTCGGATTACAACTCAACCGTACTCATCCAACCCCATTCCCATGTGAATATTGCCTAAAGAGACTTATAATTTGCTTGTATTTCTCCCGCGCATTCATCCCCAAAATGATTAATGTCAAAAGCAAACTCATTCGAAGTGGGTTTCTTCTGATCCCCTAATCTTCACGCCTACTTCTTAAATACTCTCTTTTAAAAGCGAGCATAATTCCTCTTTAACATGAACTATTTAGAAATTTTAATGCAATGAAAACTTATACTCTTTTGTTGCTGTGCAGTGGAAGGTGATACTATATAACTAAATCTAGCTTGTTGCTTAAAAAGCGCCTTATATTGAAGTCTTCGATTTCTGTTGGAAATGGACCAACGAACCACTACTACGACGTTCAATGTACAAAAAATGAAAAAAATAAAATATACAAATAAAAATAATATAAAGTACAAATAATGCCAAAAATAACCTTTATAATATGTCTATATTTATATATAACCCCTATTGGAAGTTGATAGGGAAAGCCCATGTTGTTGGAGGGATTGATAGAGATTTCGTGGACGCTGCTACACGGTTCACATATAGGATGCTCTTTTAAGAGGAAAGTGCCAAACACAAGAATGTCACATTTCTCGCTTTCAAGACCAGTATATGCCTTGATCGGTATGCAAAATTTGTTTACTTAAATCTAACTTTCATTAATTTCTCGATGATCTTTCAACCCTACCTGGTAATTATTCCCCTGCTCTTTAAGCATTACTATTATCTTCCGGTTGTGTTTGAATCATTTGGCGAGCTGAGGACTTTTGTTACCATGAGTCACATAAAAACGTAGTAGAACTGCCCATTTATTCTAGATGTAAGTAAATATTGGAACGCCTCAATATGGTTGAACTCTGGCAAAAATCCACTTACCACCGTGAGCAGCAAAACAGGTAAGCAGGAATGAAAGCTGTTTGAGTTGGGAATGAAAGAGAAGAATGCTCTGCATGATGTTATGAAGTAAACAAATTGCATTACACTTGGCTGAATACCCGACTCATAAAAGCTAAAATATATTGATAAAAAAGGAGGCTCCTCGAAATTTTTGAGGTCAACGTGATTCCTTCCTGCTGAACCTTTGGTACAAAATTGAATTTATTGGCAAAAATTTGCAGTAATTTGGAATTCTTAACTTTTAAGTCTAAAATTGGAAGGAGTCAGTAAGTCGACACATTTAACCGAGTGTGAAAATCAACCATTCAAACATTTTTGGTTTAATGCTTTCCAATGAATTTCAAGAAACCCTCTCGGTGGTGGACAAATGATATATCCTAGAAGTTGTGACTCCTGTCCTCAGATGACAAGAAGAGGTATTTTAGATTTGTTTGAGACTTGCTTTGGTTGATATTTAAAAGCCAATATCACAATTATGTAACAGAGCATTCTTTGCTAGATGGGAAGACTGTTACCTTCTCAAGTATTCACCTACACCCTATTTCAGTGATAAACGCTGGTGTAGCTAAATGAGATTTACTTCGTTTCCAACTTTTTTCAATTTGAACTTCACTTACACAGAAAAAAACAATTTGAAAGGATTGTGGAACGATGATTCACCCGGTAGAGTGTATCTCAGATTTTGGACCAAGATCGGTTTTTATTAAAAGTGCATTTCGTTGAGAGCAAAAAAAGTTATGCTATAGATCAACTCGGAACTAAAAGAACTAAGGAATATGCACCCTATTTAAATTATCCAACTGTCCCAATGCTAGAGCCTTTATATAAATTGAACCTTAGAAATGGTTATATTTTCATATTTTGCAGTGAATAATACAAGTAAATTTCGTAGATTTTCAACATGCATAGACTTTTATGTAATTTCCTTTCAAGGTTGTTTCAGCTGAAAAGTTCTCATCACTTTGGGTGCCCATCATTCGTGTCGATAATGGACGATGCAAATGACATCTTGCTAGTCAGTCAATACAAAAGATCTCACCTTTAGTGTGTGAGTTAACCTCAAACGATCAATTGTAACGATAAGACCTTTATTTTGTCTTATCGATTTTGGCTTCTTTTTCTTGATCTCATTCAACTGTAGCCTAGAGGTAAAAGTAATGGAAATTAGGTTTTCAGGAATACACCAAATGATAACTTGAACGTTAGCCGAGATAACCCATAGATCTAATAAAATTAGACGCCATGTCAAAATAAACTAATTAAAGTTGCTTTTTCGCGCAATATACAGGTTAGTAAAAGTGTAAGCAACCAATAGAGGGACAGGAAGGAGTGCTCTGCAGGGGCAACCTGTAAGAATGATTTTAATTTCACACTTGTAAAAGAAATTCGAAACGTCAAAATGTAATTGTTAATTAATAAGTAAGAAAATAATTCTTCTAGCAAAATGCCATTTTATTTAGGAATGAGGCCTTCCAAAAGTAAATTTTTGGATTCTAAGGGACTAATTTGGTTGTCTCCATAGCTGAAAAAACTTGATGGAATTAAGGCACTGGAGTATGAAGGATTCCACGACTACGATTTTTAATTTTGACATTCAATCAACCGGACTGTTATGCAAGGTGGCATTTACTTATTAAACTAATTTCATCTTGGACTATAAGAAAAAAGAGAAACGAATTTTTTTAATTATTATAAAAGTATAAGTTTATTAAACTTGAGTTTAATTGACCTCCCAACTTTTTGTTTCCAATGGTAGAACTTTTGAGAAGAAACTGTACGAAAATCAATCACAGGCGTCTAATTAGGAAAAACCAGAGTGAATTTTTAAAAATGCCTCTCTCGCCTGACAAAATTGAGAGTAGATATCGAACAGGATATAAAGTTAGGGTTATTAACAGTCTAAATGAGTCCCACGGTCAGTTGAATAAAAAACATAAACAGGGCTAAAGAAAATGTCTTTCACCAATTTGTCTTTTCTGTGAAACTATCTGTCAATGCACAGGAGCTTGACTGTTATGAATATTTTCCTTGTGAGATTTAAACTATGGATATAAAGAGCAAAGAGGGCTCTTCAGATTTTGCCGTTTTTTACATTCGTTTCTACCCTTCCTTTAGTACTAGTTCAAATGTTAGTGCTTGAACATTTTGGCAGGGTGGTATAAAACTGAAAATATAATATTTAAGGAGTGAGTAAATATTACATTTAAATTATTTCGGAGATGGTACAGTCTTAATATTTTCAATAAAATGGACAATATTTAAGCAGTATAGTGTATTACTGATATATAAGCAATCTTCAAAATATAGTAAAATGCTAATATATTTAAAAATTTTATTCTCATGACAGAAAAAATATATTTTTCAAGAGTTCTATTTCAGCTCTTTTGGCTAGTATTAGCAGGTGGTTATCCACTATATTTATATTTATGTCAGAACAGTACTCTTCAAACAGAAATAACATTCAGAGCGTGTTTTAGTTATATTGTTTCTTCTACCTAAATAAGGATATGTATATATGGTTCAAGAGAATAAGAAATTCAAATTCAAATGTAAATTATACAATTGGCTTTTTATTGGAAAAAGGATTTATGGAAAATAATACTCTTTCTGCCATGAATTTTAATTGACGAAAATGGCGATAAGGATTTCAATTCATGTAAATTTATTTGTAAAAATAAACTGCTTTAAAACCGTTTTATTGAAATAAGGGGCAAGCACGACTCTATAAAGGTCATGTGTTGAAGAAAATAATGGGAAGACTTAAGTTCTAAATTAATTTACATATCCCGTGATAAAGTGATAATATTATCAGTATTAAATATAAAGAGTGCAGTGAAATCATGAAAAACAGTACGCCATCAATTAATTTTTTTACTACGAAGTTGTTTTGATGAGTAACGTTGAAATCAAAGGCGGGCTTTCACCGAGTACCCTAGTGACTGCCAGGAACAAAGCTTTGGGCCTAGGTAGGTGCAGTGGTTCCCGAGTGTATTTTTGTTTATTATTACGAAAGAGTTCATATAATAAAGATTTCCGTTTTTGGAATAAGTTTCGTAAAGTTTTTATTCGTTTGTAATTGATTTTAGTAAAAATATGGCTTGTGTAGCCCTAAAGAGATCAGCACCGTTCGAACCTATTAGTCCTACCTCAGCTAAAAGGCACAGATGTTCTATGAATCTTCCTTGTAATTGTCAATTATCGACGCAAGAATCGATATTTACGCCTTCGACTAGAATTTCGAGAGGTGGGAAATCTCATTAGAATTATTTTATGTATTTAAATGTTTGATTAGCAATATGATTAAATTCCTAGAGCAAATCGTTAGGCGAATTCGGCAGGATGTTTGGCGAATGCAAAGACGCAAAGTTATTCCTAAATTTCCATCAGGTTGCCTACCAAACACCCATGATCAATCCGAAGTCAACAGTGACCGACCTTCTTCGCCTTCTGGTGTGTTCCTTTTTATTCATATTCAATTTTTAGCCGTTATAAATCTTTGAATTAATTTATTTTGCATTCCTATCGTTATCCCAGATTTTCATTTTATTCGAAAATATTTGGGATCTGTTACGCAATTAGATATCACTGTTACTTGGGATGTTTTGTAAAATGGTGCTCTTTAAGTTCTGTTTGGCAAACAGAAATAGTTATATTTAATTGCTTCTGAAAATTTGGATTGAAATCATTGATTGATATCCTTTGAAAAAATTCTATTTTTATTTCTTTGCTTTAATGCGTAACAGAAAATGTGTTCTCTAAATTAATAATTACATTGATATTTCAAAAATTTTAAGATAAATTTCTATGCTTTGTCCCACTGATTTATTTAGTAATTGTTCTCTTTCCATGAACTTTCGATTGTATATCTTATGCAAAGCCCAGTAAATTCATATTCTCATTTTGCTTGTGTTGGTGACAATTTTAAATATGATATGGTAAAAGTGCTTTGTTTGGGGATTGGGTTATTTTCATTTGAATTCTTGGTTTGTAGTGTTTCCTATTTGTTTTAACTGGATAGTGAGTCAAGCAAATGTATTTTTCTGCCACCTCTTAAGCTATTTGTGTAATGATTGACTAGACTGAGTTGATAGATACACTAAGTTAATGTAATTATCTAATTTTTCCTAAACCTGTTGCGAATCCTAAAATTAATTGATCACCATTTTGCGCTTTAGAGTCAGCGATGGCGTCGTGCTCTCAGGTAATTAGTCGAATGCGTCAGATGGCAATTCGATCTCCGAAATCAGAGTCAGCCCTCTCTTCGGATACAGATGAGGCGTCAGATGGTTCTTACAGTCCGCGTCTCCTCGATATTCCCGACTCCCCACAGCGCGCCCAGTCACCCCCCTCCTCCCCCTCACCGAAACCGTTATGTCAAGATGATGTGCCGCTTTTCACCATCCGCCAAGTCACCGCGCTTTGTCACAATCTCATTCGGGAAAGAGAGGAGAAGCTGCGCGAGGAATATGACACTATTTTAAGTGGAAAACTAGCAGAACAGTACACAGCTTTGTTGAAATTCAATCAGGAGCAACTGAGTAGGCGATTTAAGGACGCCCCCATGAGTTGTAAGTCCTCGCTAATTTGTCGTTTTCTTAATAACCGTGTTTTTTTTTGTAGACGTGTCCTAAGACGTTCTTGTACATTGTGGTTGTGGCCCAGAAGAAATCCTAAGCTTCCACAAAATGTGTATTTTACGGTACACTTCTTTCTCGGCCGTTCTTGTTCACTACAGTTTTTTTCTCTTTCCCTCAAGCTTTGTTCATTTCTGATGTGTGATGTGTTTGAAATTGGCATTAAATGCAATTCAATTGACGAAAATAATTGTATTTTTCGTAATCGTATTTTTCATGAGTTCTTTCATTCAATTCATGCAAATTCTGCGGTTTTTTAATTAAAGGGTATTTAATCTTGACTAGAATTTCACAAAGAAAATTAGTGGATTTTTGGTACGTTTCAATTGGTTTTGTTTCTAATGGCTTATTTGAAAAGCTGTCTGGATCGAACTAACGGAAACCTTTTTTCAATATTTAGAAGTGCGCTCAGTATATTTCTTTTGGGTTGTGGCTGTAATGGTGTAGTGGTCCAAATGAGATGCACTTGAGTTGGTGGATTTGTTACATAATTGCTACCGATTCGTTACATTGATCACGCTTTACTAATTTTTTGTTGATAGTGAGGTGGCAGCGTCCATGTTGGCTTTCAATTTGTGGACTTCATCTAATGGGAATGATGTCGGCTTTGAGCAAATTCAGCTTGTTCGTTATTAGCAAATTGTCAAGTGGTTTGGGATCGAATTAATCTAAGTGTGTGGCATCACGATAACGATGAATAAGATGTCTATATTGAATTCTGTTGGGAATTCAGGTTTGACAGGTTTCGATGTTTACCAAGTGGAACAAATAAAGTAAAGATCTTGGGTAAAGCATATATTAGGGTCAGGTAAGGTGCCCTTCGATCTTGCAGCAACTGCCTTTCCAGAGTACGCAGACTAAACAAGGTTACTTAGCCGTTTGCTATTTGACATTACAAAATGTATTCGAGAGGAATGATGAAGCCACAAATTAAGAACCCGTTCTGTGAGAAACAGGCGAAATTAGAAGCATTAAAAGGGTTAGAAGGATGCCACGCGCATACATACACGTAGCAAAATAATAGCATTTTAGAAAATACGACTTAGCAGTGTTAAAAACATCTCAGAATCATGCAGCACTGGAATATCATGGTTATCTATCATAATAGTTTTCCTAGTTTATCTCCCCCATTTCTAACCCTAATATAAGGTATTAATATTGTATTCGCGTTTAAAGTTATCAATGACAATAATAAAGCAATAGATTTTAAATATTTATCTATTAATATACATAGAATATATATAAAAAGAAGTTAATTAGAGTAAATAGTGCCTGGAAATTGGCTAGCTAGCTGGCTGATATTGCAGTCAATCAAGATAGAATTAAAATGTATTTATTATTAAATATAATGGATATATATAATAATAAATGGTCTTAATTTTAACAATTTTGCAATCCGATTTAAATGACCTTACAACGCTTTGTTATAATACGGCGGTTAAACAGCCAACATATTTGATCTGCGGGGTAGTTCGTAAGAAGGCTTACTGCATGTACAAATGGCTCAAAAAATATTCCAATCTATTCGACGACTTCCAGCACAGTTAACACCAATGCGTAAGAAGCAAGATACGGTAGAAGTAGTGGGGAGTCATTACAAAATCAATGTGGTTTGTCAAATATTTATTCCTTAATTATCAGTTTTCAAATATTGGTTTCCCCTCTAAACCTTCGTCCCTGGCATACGATCAAACTCTTGATGTGTTTGCGTTGGCCACGCGGGAGGGTTTGTTATATGTGTAAGATTGTATAGGTTTTGATAAACTATCTTCTAGCTATGGTAAACCGGGTATTGTTTATTATGGATCACATAAGGATGCATCTGAAATTATCAAAGTCGTATTCATTGTTGGAAAAGTATGTTATATAGAATTAAGTAATGTATTTATCTTTAGGGGAAGTTATTGACTCTTAGTGACAGTGACGATATTTTCATCTGGGAGATTGATTTATCAGCTACGCCACACCCCTGTCTTCAAAACGTCGGCCGATTATCGAATGTATCAATTTTATTGGAACCTAAAAGACTTGATCCCGAATCAGTTGATTACATAGAAAGCCATGTAACGGCTATGATTGTGGAGTCTTCAAATTCTTCTATTATCGTTGGAACGGATCAAGGTAGCGTGGCATTCATTAAACGGAATACGAACGTGAAGCAAGGAGTCGCACAGGACGAGAGCTCTATGTGGATTTTCCCTAAACAGGAGGATGTTCTCACCGCTCATCACGTTATGCAGAGGTTGGTCTCCATTTTTTATTCCCTACAAATTTCACTTTGTTTTATTGTTGTAATGAATTATGTATTCATATAAAATCCCTACTCGAACTTTGCATACTTTTAAATTTTGAGTCATTATATAAAGTTATGAGTAAATTTGTTTTTCCTTGTCAAGTTTTTTGTCCATGGATTCGGAATTTAATTAATTTTTTCAACAGATCATTCAGCGATTTTTTATTCAAAGTTAAGAAATTGGTAGACATATTGAATAATAAAATTTGAATATTAAAGAGTTTCAGTTGCTGATAATTCCTCCTTGTACAAAGTGCTTTTCCCATCTGAGAAAGTTTGTTTATTTGCCCCGGTCGTCGGTTTTCAGTTTTTTCGTCACACATTGAAAATGTCCGCTTAAGTTCGGAGGGTTGTTTTGTGGCCTCCTATAACTATATTGAATGATCTTCTCTACTAGGGATTTCTTTTCAATTCTTCCTTTTTTTCAAACCGATAAGGTGGGTAGATATTTATTACAAGGCTAAATGTTCACTCTGTTATTATTATTATTATTCTGTATTTATCCTGCTGCGTGGATATACGTACCAGTTTGACTGCATAGGCGGTCATTTCCCATCAGGTTTATCTAGCCCCACCTGGGGTGTGATGGTGATTGATGGGGCGATATAGCCTGATCTAGTTAATGACCGCCCTGAGCTCCCATCTCGGCTCTTCAGTTGGCACCCACTTCACCATAGTTTTGACCTCGAATTCCATTAGTCTATTGCCAAGATTAAGAATAGCAAGTTAACAATTAAATGGACACTAAATTATTTATTAAGAACACTTTAATATATCAAATTTTAATCATGCTCTTGTAATTGAGTTTAACGATAATTCGGTATCTGCAATAATCAGGTGGTGGTCAAATATGCCTTGGCTTTATGTCGCGATACCCGAAGCTTTATTTTTTTTTCCAATCCATTTCAGCACATTCTCTTCAATTTATTAATAGGTCAGGTAACTGAGCCCAGTAAAGATCATTCAAGGTGAACTCCACTGATAGTAATAATATGAAAGTTCAGGCAGCTTTTTCTAACTCAGTGGTTACGATACTTTTTTTTAAATTCAAATTCTTGCTGTTTTATGCTGATTTCTATGGAAATAATGCTTTCGGAACTAGCCGACTTTTGATCATTTAAACATTTATAAAGGAAAATATTTTTCATTATTAGTTGGTGACCAGTGAGTTTAATACTTCCATTTGAGTTGCCCATTCCAAGAGAATAAAAGCAGATTTGCTTGACAAAGAGTACAAACAGGTCCAATGAAACGCTCATGAAAGCTTATGCAAATGTTTCCCTTGCAGTCCTTGGGGTTCTGTCCTTGTTTTTGGCTCATATTGAGGAGTCCTATTTCTTAATAAGTTTGGTCGCTACGAAATTCTAGCCGTTCTATTCTCGATTTTGGTTTTGCCAAGAAGTTTCCTTCTGTCGGGGACCCAGCTTTCAATCTGCTCATCTGATACGTCGCTTTCGCTAATTCTGGTCATTCTAAAGGGTAGTTTATGTCAAATGGCAGGCTTTAGGATAGTTATCATTAGCTAGTTGGTTGACTTCGGATTTCACAGAGAGGGGGAGGAACATCAAATTTACAAAGAGTCGAGGGGGGGGGGGAGAAGAGTGATTCACAGATGTAAGAGACAGACAGTCACAAAGGTAGAGAAAAAGGTAAGGTGGAATATAACATACAATCAGGTCATGGTGGTTTGAAGTCAGAAGTCAACTGCCGGTTTGTAGACTTCTTATCGTATGAGTATACATTGTCCAGGGGGCACAACATAGAGGTAAGTCTATCGTACACCCCCTCATAAAGGCTGGTAAAGTATAGGGTTTTCATAAGAGGGACCTTAAAATTCACTCCCTGTTCAAGTTGACCGTCACCAATACCTTTTTAATTAGTTTAATGACTTTATTTTACTGATAACGCACTCAATGACATTAATTTTAGAAATGAAGTTTCGTCGAGTGATCTTCGATATCTCACTTTAAGTAAAATGGAGCTTTTGAACTAAGCGGCCCCTCTCTTCCTTTTGAATACCAGACCCACCTTTTCGTTTACTCGTGAAATCGTAAGATGCTTGCTTGTTACTTACTGTGAACCAAGTGGAGGGATCATTTGTTGTTTGCGTAACATGTCTGTTTTTAGCCTCGCGTCCTCTAATAGACGATTTTCTCACTCGCTAAATTACCTTTGTGTGGTGAGCATTCATTTGCGCACGCATTGCACTCAAATCACACTCGCGCAGCGAGTTGTGAGTGAGTCAGTAGAGCTTTGGACATGCCTCCAAGACTGATTCATACTAGATGTTTGCGTATGGGCTTTGTTGATTTTCCGCATTCTCACCTCACAATTACAGACTGTGAGTAGATGGACCAAAGCATTATTGCCTCTCTTGTCTGGTAGTATGAAAATGATTGTAATCGCACTAACTTACTTCATTCTCATGCTTGAAAGGAAACAATGGTTGTTAGTGGGAATACTTTTGTAGTAGGAGGGAGAAGGAGTAGTGTTAAAGACACAGCTGTTTAACGAAGGAATAAAGTTGGAAATCAGCCCACTCGAAAATATTTCAATCTCTTGATTTCCCATTTACGTTTAGTTATAGTCAGCACTAGATATCGTATATTTATCAGTATGGATTTGTATGCTCTATGAATACGGCGTACCTCCAAATTATTATGGTTTTGACGAAATCAAGATTGGAAGGTGAATTACAGTTGCCTCTTCGACTTTTGTTTCAGATATGCTCTTTATGAAGATAACTTAGTTTCGCCGGTGAGAAAATGAATCGAGTCTTTCCTCTCATCTGATGTCTTTGAATGACACAATTTAGACTTGATATTTCGGGGAAGACTCTTACATTTGTAATCGGATTTTTCTGGAAGTTCTCTAAGCTCTTTAAAGAAGACATTGAGAGGGATCACAAAGGAAAGAGAGGTAATTTATCTTTACTTGAACATGATTTCTGGGCGTTTATTTATCAAGGCGATATTGATTAGGAAATTTAGAATTCTCTCTAAACTCCCTTCTTTTCCAATTGTTTTCATTACTCGAGATTTTCCTCGGTTATTGTTTGCTAAATTGCATTGCCTGCCAGTCATGTATGAATGAACATTTTCTATTAGGTATTTTACAGCTACGTATTTCTCGAATCAGCTGCGATTCGCTTGATATTGTTAAATTAGCATAATATGATGCAGATAATAGAGAGATAACATTTGGCAATAGTCTCATACTTGGAACTGCAATTTCGCTCAACCCCATTCCAAAATCGCTGTAATATGAATTCGAACAGCATTTGAGTACCCGTAGTTATGTCGAACGTATTTTGCAGTACTCATTAGTCTTGTTCTCCATCAGTTAATTTAGTCAGCTTAATTACCATTAAATGCTTTGCGTCCTTTACGCGTTTTCAGTTAATTTGGCCTATTAAAATCGTGCTAAGTGAATTGGCAACGATTTACAATGCTCTCCCCTCTCAATTGTAGATTGTTTGATATTGTGATTACGCTACCTCCCTCCCCTCCCCCCCCCTTCTTCGCTGATTCATCTCTCCCTTATTTTGCATTTAATTTAGCGTTTGCTTTTCGTATGACCTTAGCAACCAATGCCACGCGCCTTTCCTTCCCTCTGTCATTGTCTCTCTAGGTCCCTTATTGCCACATCAACAAAAAGCACTTTTAATAGCGGACAGTTCAAACGCATTCGAATAAGTCAGTTACAACAGGATGACGTGCTCATTCTCCAAGATAGTGGATAGATAGTTGTTTCATACTTCGATCTCCAAGTCTTCCCGGTAAAAATTGCCATTATCACACACTACTTATTAAGTGTGCAAGTTAATCTTTGTCTTTCCATATCCCATCAATTGGTTGGAGCTGAAATCGAAATGTGAAATTTTGAACTTGGCATTTTTGAGAGCATTGTATTCTGTTGAACACCCCCCCCCCCCCCCCCCCCCCCCCACCCCACCCACAACGAAAGCTTGAATTCATTTACATTTTCCTAGTCACACACTTCACAATATAATTTCAGTTTACTTCTTTACATAATATGAAGGCTAACTAGTTTTGTAATGGAATCTTTTTATTCACTTATTCCCTGCATTAACAACGACGACGTATCTTTTCTCAACTATCTTATTTACATAGGTAACTTATGGAGAATGGAGTGAACTGTCTCATCTCCAGGGTGTTACCCGTCAGGCAACTACAATTTATTTCCATAGTTTTGCTTGTACGCTTATTGATAAGTCTGGGGGTATGAAATGCTTGTGGATTGACTGGTCTGTGCTTTGATCAGTTCTTTTTTCATTAAACTGTCCAGCTATTAATTCCACTGTTTATTATGTAGGATATCATGAGAGTTATCAAATGGAACTATTATCGATATGGCTCGAGATTATGTACTTTTGGTGTTATTATGCGAGTAACTATCCGATTTGGTACCACACTGAGTAACCACCTACAACAAGGCTTTAATGCTCGTGTTTCCAAGCCTATTGAAATTTCGGAAAATGTGACGTCATATTTCCGAACTGAATAACAAGAATTTCCTCGCGAAGCCGATTAGAGTGCATTATTTTAAATAAACACTTAATTTAAAGCAGTTATAGAGTTACCTTCTAAATTACCGGTAATTACTGGGCTTCTAAACGCTGGATTCGTGGCATTTCGCAATACCCAATTTAGAAATACAATCCTTCTCATCAAACTCTTAGAAGATAAGCCAACAATGATTTTAGAATTGCCACTATATATAAATCATCTTGAGATAAAATCTTAATCTATTTTACCACATCAATTTGCTCTTCCTGTCCTGATTGCACCAGTTCTGATTTCCTGATTTATATGGTTCCCAAGTGTCTATGGCTTGCGCCTTCCTCTTCAAATGTACCTGTTTAGACCTGAAATGCTTTCCAAAGTCCCCATTTGCTGTGCATTGTGGCAATCACAAAGCTATACTCCACCATTCCCAATCTCGTCAAATCATCGACACTTGGAGTACGGTAAAATTATTCTATATGCGCGAGTCGAGTGGACATTAAGACTGACGTAAAGGCATGGAATGAATCTTACTTTATTCAAATTCAGGTTTCATCAATTTCTTATTATTTTCTTAGAGTTTTGCTCTCACTACATCGTGTTTTAATGCCCTTGGTTCATTTATGTACTCAACACACCAATATTTAATTTAATCGATCATGAAATTGCCTATATCATTTCGTATTTACTTTGCAAGCCAAGACCAGTTCGTTGTCGCTAGTTATCTATAGCTATCTATAAATTTTGCACTAAAACTCACTCATTACTAAGTGGCATTTGGTAGCAGAAATATGGTAATTTGATGACTAATACACCTACTTTATCATTATTTTTTCTAGTATTCCTTCAGAAAAGCGCGCTCGTCTTCGATTGGATGCGGTCGTGGTTCTCTCTGAGCAGCCCGGTTATAACGGGCGACTTCTTATTGGCTATAGTAGTGGTGTCTGTCTCCTCTATGACCTACACGGGCATGGTGTTTTGGCAATTCTTCCCTGTCAATATGAGCTTGAATCGGCCACTTGGTGTGGGGGCAGTGGTCTCCCTGTTCGCGGTGCAACGTCAAACCCTACTCAAGCTCCACCTCACCTTGGCACCAGACTACTCACCGCCTATGGCAATGGTTCACTCGGTGTTTGGCAAATCCCTCTTTTTGTTACTGGTCCCGGTCTAGCCAAAGGATTGAGCACCCAAGTCTTGCAAATGATGGAGTCCCCCAGCATGCCTTATGGTATGAAACGCGCTTGTTTTAAGCTACTGGCAAATGGCTTTCATCTGGTGATAAGTCCTTTCTTATTTCAGGCCCGTTTCCTTGCAAGTTAATCAGCAAAGTGTTTTGGCTGCCTTCTCACAAGTGAGTGTCTTCATTCGTTGCATAGAATGCGTGTACAGTCATCTTTGGTGGTTACCAAGCGAAAGACCTCATATCTGGATAGTGTGTGCTCTGTTTGAGGATTTGTTTGGCTGAGTCATCTAACAATAATGCTGGAGTCACTTTTTCTTCAGATCGTTTGGACAGAAGAAGGTGGAATAGTTATTGAATTTCACTAACTGGATGAACGCTTTAGCAAGGGTGCAACAATGAGGTTATGCAGAAAAAATGCATTGATTTAATGAGTAGCTAACGGACATTGAGTATAATGTTAAGTCTGTAAGATATTGTAGGTACTTTGGGGCATCTAGATGACTAAGTAGGTTGCAATACGTATAATATTGGCACGATAAAAATATTCCGACATGGCATAAGAATCGATGTGGAGACGAAAACGCATCCAAGTGCGCTAGGATGTCTAAAATTTCCACACCAATCTGGCAGTGGTTAACATTCAGAACTGCCAAATCATAGATTGATTCTCACCAATTCGTAATCAGTTAATTCTGGTCAAAAAAAGCTTGTGGGTTCTAGAGATGAGTTGCTCCACAACGCCTTCCCACCACCCAAACCAATGGCTGTTTTTGTTTAATTATTAAATAACATTATATTTTTTAGAATTTTTACGTATGGAAAATCATATGAACTTGAAATGGCTTCGCTTTTTACCAATAGAAAATACGGAGACTTTCTAAATATCTGTAGATAAGTATTTCTGAGTGGTCCATGAAACTTATTATAAGACATCTTTGACACACTTCAATTTATATATTTGTAACAAGGGGTGTGCGATAGACTTACCTGCCATTTGAAATGATATTAATAACAATATATAAGTTAATCCGTCAAGATAATGTACATTATTTTATTCGGACAAGGATTAGATGAGTTTTGAAATTTTGTAAGATTATTTTGTGCCACTGGATTTTAGATCTTTGAGGTCTCGCAGTTGTTCTAATTCTAACAGTAAGGGTGACGTTCCGATATGTGTCAATCACTTTTGCCTTTCTTAAAACATGAAAGGACTGATAATAGGGCACTGGAAGGTAGTGCGGCTGTAAACAATTGTCAGTTTCTCGCCTCACCGTTTTATTTGGAGTCCACTTTTCATGTGTACTTACACTTAGAAAGATGTGGATCGGCATGTTTGACTGTTTTAGCTATGGTCGACTCATGTCTTAAGTAAATTGTCATTATCGTGTTGTTGCGCAAGCTCTGCCCATTCGAAGGAGTTTCTAAGATGAGTGAATCAGAGGGAGGGAGAGAGAGCCATCTATTAGTCCGATGACAAGCTCATCTTCAGAAAAAATCCTCCGATCTAGCTCCTTACAGTTCATGCCACCTCAAGAATGCTGCTCTAAATGCGTATTATTAGGTGAAGTTATTACTCTCTATACCAATATATTTCTGAAAAGCACCTTCTCATGTTGATGAATCGCATGACGATGTGGTGGTGGTGGTGGAGAGGGGGGGGGTACAAACGTTGCCAATTCGTGCACAATACTTGAATGCATAATTAATCCACCCCTTCCTCCACGGGAAGGTTTTTTTCTTTGATTATGCTGAGGCTTTTGTACTCTGTGATTTTTGTCTTCAAAATGACCTTGTACTTAAGTGTAAATGAATATCTCGAAGATTAGATATCCCTGAGATTGAGGTAAATTTCAATCTTTTTAACTCTTTCATATAATTTTCAAGTTATCTTAAAATTGTCACCCTCTACATAATTTGAACAAAACTAGGTCGCAGGCAATAAATTTCTCTATATAAAAGCATAAATTGGTCAATGTGTGAAGTCTTAAATTACAAGACTTAGATTGTTAATGCCTTATCTGGCTAATTGGTGTGAAAGTTAAGTGAGCAAAAGGGTAGTTGTTTTCTGGTTGCAAATTAAGGTAAGTAATCACGTTTCGGCAGGAAGGGGCGTGAGAGAGTTGTGGGAAGTAATTTCACGCCAATTGACATTTAGAACTTGTCTTTTCTCTCTCTCTCTCTGATCACTATCAATATTTACTTCACCATGCATTGGCGCTTAGTCCACGGTACAGTCAATTTCTTCATTTGCTCACAAAAGACGAAAAGAAGGGAGAAACACATAGAGATCCTTGACGAGTTTTTGTCTTTTATATAAAAGCTGACTTAACTGTATGTCTCGTCATTTCAGAGGAGGAATAACAGTGTTTGCAGGTGGTCTGCCTCGTTCACTTTATGCCAACAATAACACCGTAAGCATTCTGCGGGGTTCGAACTTGGATCAAGCAGCAGCCGCGAATCTCGCCGCTGCACTCAGGGCGGACAGTGAAGGTGATTATGAGGATTCGACGGGCGAGGAGGATGCTTTCGACCAGACTGGAGGCGACGGTGTCACTCTTGCCAGTGGCCTCGTCCCCGGTGCCCCTGTCCATGTTTTCGACTCCGACGCGCCCGAGCATGTCTGTTTGGACCTTCCCTCCCCTGTTGTTGACGTCTGTTCTCTTGGACCCTCTGGTGGCCCCGCAAGCGGACTCCTGGTAAGTTAAATTCGATAGTTGATCTGTTTCCATTACGTTGACGCAAATTTGAATTATTAGGCTGTTGTACTCATAGAACTGGAGATCGTGTGGTTGTTTTACTCATTTTCTCCATTTGAAATAATACTAGATAAAAGTTTGGAACCGAGTGTTCAGCGGTCATTAATCTCTGGTACGGTTCATCTTGGTAGTGCGGTTATAGTTCAGAATATGAGGATTTAGAGCAATTTTACATCATTGGCTTGAAAGTAAGGCCAAGTGGGTCGAGTCAGAATGACTTCGTTGAGGGGACATTACAACAAATACGAGGTTGAGTCGAAACGTTCCCAGACAAATGCCATAAACTTAAATAGAACAAAGATTTACACCTTTTTACAAATTCAAACATGTCTTTACAGTTTCCCCAATAACATGCAGCTATCCGATCACTCCAGTTAAGGTCGAGATCAAGGTAGGTTGCTTCACAAAAGGCTAGCAATTTTCAACCTTTCAAATGGCAAATTTTAGAGCAGAGCTAACACAGAAGCTTTGTCCAAACTGAATTGGAAATCTGTTCAGATCATGTATAGGACATGTAGAGTAGTCATTTACTATTGCACCAAACGGTTTAAAGAGGGAAGAGTACAGCAAAATGACGACCCACAAGGAGGAAGACCCACCACAGCAAGAAATCAAGAAAACATCTCCCTTGTGCAGAACCTAATGCGGGAACAAGGTGGACGAGTTACCATTGAGGAAATTGTCAGTGAAGTAGGAATCGTGCAAGGAATAGCATTTTCAATACTCACAGAAAATCTTGTCTCGAGGAAGCTCTCGGTGGGTTCCAAAGCGCTGCAGGAGCAACAACAGTTCCAAAGAGCTGAACTTTCTTTGGCAAAGATGGAAGCAAAGATGGAAAACAAAATTCAACCAAAAGGGTCACATCTAAAGGGAACGTCTGGATCTGTCGAGTTCAAAACTGAAAGGTCCGTTGAAAAGTTCATAGTCTAGAAGCACGGAAAATGGTCACCTCAAGCCGTTTTGAATAAGCTGAAGGCATCCCTTGCTAAAAAATGGCGCAGGAAACTGCACCATTAAAGTTTGTTTCACCACGACAACATGTGACCATTCTTCAAGAGGTGTCAGGGCCCTACTGAGCGAGTTTCGATGGGAAACACTTTCACATCTTCTTCATGGTGCAGACCTATCTCCCCCAGACTTCTTTTTGTTTCCAAAACTGAAAGAACATCTTAAAGGCAGCCGATTTACGTTCTTCGATGAGGCGAAAAAGCATGTACATTTATGGTGACCGAGGCGGCACCACAAATTATACTATGAGGGAATTTACAGTTGAAAATGAATGTAATCACTTGTTAAATATATAAATTATGAAATTTGTCTGAGAAATTTTTGACTCACCCTCGTATTTGTCACCATTTGCTAGCCTACTTCAAGGACATGTTTAGGAGGATATTAGAGTATGGCCTTATATCTTGATTATTCATTTTCACTATGAATAAAATGGTATCTTTACATAACTTTATGATAAATTCGTTATTATATATGGATAAAAGGAATATAAGTAAGCCTCATTTATTGTATTATTTATTTATATCAAATGGCAGGCGTCTTGATGGTTATCATTAGCCCTTTGGTTGACTTCAGACTTCACAGAGGAGAAGGAACATCAAATTGAAAAAAGTCGAGAGGGGGGGGACAGAAGAGTGTTTCAAAGATGTAAGAGACAAACACAAAGGTAGAAAAAAGGTAAGAAGAGTACTGTGGAAATAGTCGAATATGGCATAGAGTGAGGTGGTGGTAGTTTGAAGTGAGAAGTCAATTGCCAGTTAATAGACTTTTTGCCGTATGAATATACGTTGCATAGGATGCACCACGTGGAGGTAAGTCTATCGCACACCCCGCCTCATTTATTGTCTACAAGTAACATAACTG